CTCATTTGTAAATATATAAAACTTTCCACTATCATATCTTCCTTGACTTATGAAGTATTCACAAAAATTTTTAAATTAACATATGATGATTATCTCTATCTTCATTCCATGCTCATAGATTAGAATACTTGATATTATCATTAGATATAAATTCTTGCCCACTTCTACAGATTCAATACAATTTCATCAAGAGTACAGCAAGCTATTTTGGAGATATCAACAATGGATTATAAAGTTCATATGGTAAAGCAAAGAGTCAGATAGCCAACATAATAGTGAAGAATAAAAAGTTAGAGGACTCATACTACCTGGTTTCAAGACCTATTATAAAGCTACTGTAATGAAAAGAGCATGGTATTGGCAAAAGAATATACACTTAAGTTCATGGAACAGAATAGAGAGCCCAGAAATAGACCTATACAAATATAGTTACCTGATCTTTGACAAAAGAGCACACATAATTCAATGGAGAAAAAATAGTCATTTCAACAAATGGCCCTGGAATAACTGGATCTCCATCTGCAAAAACATTATTATAGACACAGATCTTACACCTTCTACAAAAATTAACTCGAAATGAATCATAGAACTAAGTGTAAAACAAAAAAGTATAAAACTTCTAGAGGAAATCATAGGAGAAAACCTAGGTGATGTTGGGTTTGACAATGAGATTTTAATAGACACGAGAATGAGATTTAACAAATAGAACACCAAAAGCAAAATCTATGAAACAAAATTGATAAGTTGGACTTTATTAAAAGTAACAACTTCTTCTCTGCCAAAGACACTTTCAGAATGAAAGTCCAAGTCAGACTGGGAGAAAATATTTGCAAAACACTTACCTGGTAAAGGATTTATAATGAAATGTACAAAGAGCTCAAAACTCAACAATAAGAAAGCAAACAACCCAACTAATAAATGGGCAAAGATCTGAAGAGACAATGTAACAAGGAAGAGGTACATATGGCAAATAAGCATATGAAAAGATGCCCAACATTATTTGTCATTAAGAGTTTCAATTCAAAACAATGAGATACCACCACATATCTATTAGAATAGCTGAAATCCAGTAAACTGACAATATCAATCGCTGACTAGGATGCAGAGCAACGGAATTCAACTCTCATTCATTGCTAGTGGAAGGCACAATGGTACAGTTTGGCGGTTTCTTACAAAGCTAAACACACTCTTTACTCTTACCATATGATCCAGCATTCATGCGCCTAGATACTAACCCAACTGCTTTGAAAACTTACGTACGTGCAAAACCTGCATGCAAATATTTATGGCAGCTTTATTCAAATTGCCAAACACTAGAAGCAACCAAGATGTTCCTCAATAGGTGAATAGATAAACAAACTGTGGTACATGGGTATAGTGGAGTATTACTCATTGACAAAAAAAGTGGTACTAAGCCACAAGAAGACATGGATGAACCTTAAATGCCTATTACTAAGTGAAAGAATCGAATCTGAAAAGGCTAGAAACTGCATGATTCCAGTTTTATGACAGTCTGGAAAAAGCCAAATATGCTGAAATAATGGCTAGGTGTGGTGGTTCACACCTGCAATCCCAGCACTTTGGGAAGGCCAATGTGGGAGGAACTCTTCAGGCCAGGACTACGAGGCCAGCCTGGGCAACATAGTGAACCCCCTGTCTACAAAAACAACAACAACAACAATTAGCCAGGGGTGGTGGCGTGCACCTGTAGTCCTAGCTAATCAGGAGGCTGAGGTAGAAGGATTCCTCAAGACCAGGAATTCCAGGCTACAGTGAGCTATGATCACCCCACTGCAATCCAGCCTTGGCAACAGCAAGACCTTGTCTTCTCTCTCTATCCTCTCTCTCTCTCTCTCTGTCTGTGTGTGTGTGTGTGTGTGTGTATGTGTGTATGAGTGCATGTGTGTGTGTGTGTATATATATGTGATCTGTAGTGCAAGAAGTTTGAGAGGAGAAAGGAGGATTGAATGTGGAGTCCAGGGATTTTTTAGGGCACTGAAACTTCTGTATGATACTCTAATGGTGAACACAGGACCCTAGGCATTTGTCAAAACCCATAGAATTTTGTAGCATGAAGAGTCAACCTTAATATATATAAATGTTCAAAACTCATTTAAGAGATTGAGGGATCCCAGTATAGAATGTAGACTGTGACAAATGACTCTAATTGGATTACAGATGGATGAAAACTACATACAAATTTTAAATTAAGCTATTAAGCTGTTTGTTATTGACTTCTAATTTGATTGCATTGTAGACAGAAGACACTTTCATATGATACCTATTCTTTGAAATTTGTTGAGGCTTCTCTTATTGCCTAGTACCTCATAAAATTCTACAAATACTCCAAGGAGGCTTGAGAAAAAATGGGTATTCTGAGGTTATGAGACACAGAATTTTATGAGTGGACATTGGATCAAGCTTGTTAATCATGCCATTTCAATAATCTATATCTTTGCTAAATTTTTGTATATTTGACCTCTTGAAAGAGATGCGTTAAAATGTCCCACTGTGATATTGGGGCTGTCAATTTTTCCTATTAGATCTATCTGTTATTGTTTTATATAATTAAAGACATTTATTAAGTTCATGGACATTTAAAAATTAACATTTTCTGGTGTACTGAACCTTTTATCTTTAGACAGTGAATCTCTCTATTCTAAATGATGCTTTATCTTTATTTTGTTTGCTAGTAATAGAGCTACATCAGCTTTCTTTTGATTAATGTTTGCCCAATAGAACCTTTCCCATTCTTTTATTCTTCACTTTTTCATGTCCTTATGCTTTAAGTGTGCCTTCTTGCAGGGTGACCAAACTGTTCTCCAAATCATGTTGCTCTTAGAGGAAAATGGAGCCCTGTCAACAGTACACTAGCACAACCGACATAAATGGGGTATGGCCGAGGCCAAATGGAAGATATTGGCCACACTATTTAAAAATAGCATTTTATTTTGACTTTTAAAAAGCTCCATCCCAGCATCTCTTTTATTTAACCTGTGATAATATTCTTTCACTCATTTTACCAATTGCAATTACTGCAATCTACTCTTTTTTGATTCATTTTTTTCTCTTTTCTTGACATTTTGTGCATTGAGATTTTGTTTTTGTTTTCCTCTTAATCTATCTTTCTCCACTACTGTTTTCTAGCTATTTTACTGTAGATATTCTTCAAATTTTATCATGCGAATATAACTTCAGAGTTTTGATTCCTTTCCTGAACAACAGCAAAATCCTCAACAACAGAAAGATTTTAGGATACTTTGCTCTCATCTTCCCCCTTCTGACCTATGTATTATTGTTGCCCAACATTTTATCTGTTTTTGAGCTCCACAATTTGACAGTGTTTCTAATTATTTAAAACAATCAATATTTGAAATTGCTTACGTGTTTACCATCATGATTCCTCACTATAGCATCTCCAGAGATAATTTTCCCTCTTATCTTTTAGAAGTTCCATTAAATCAGGTCTTTTGTTTGTATGCCCTCTCAATTTCTAGTTTTCTATAACTATGTTTATTTCACCCCAGTTCCTGACAGATCGTTTTGCTGGGTAAACAATTCTAAGTTGCCTGTATATTTCTATCCACATTTGAAGATAGTTTTCATATTGTCTCACTTCCTTGATGTTTAACAGCCTCTGCTTCTTAACAGCAGACTACTGAGGCTGCTCATTAGTCAGTGATCTGTCTTCTCTCCAGCTGGTTTCAAGATCTGTCACTGGTGTCTGGCAGCTTCATTACGCTGTGTCCACCATGGGTTCTTTTTTCTTTATCCTGCTTGAGATCAGTGTTTCCTGAATCTAAGGACTCATATTTTTGAAGTTTTAGAAAACGTGTTATATTTACTCCCTTAAATACTGCTTCTCCCTTTCTTCTTCTGGGCTTCCAGTTGGATACATGTTAAATCTTCTGTCCATCAAGTCTCTTTGCCTCTTCTTCTCATTTCAGCCCTATGTTCCAACGTACTAATTCTTTGTGTCAAATCTGTTTCACCTTCCTTTTAATGTCAAAAACAACAACTTGTCATTCAATCAGATTTCATCTTGAGAATTGTACTGTCTTCCTTCCAAAGGTGTCTTCTTTCTCTGAATTCTTATTGTAAGTTCATGTTTGTAATTATATCTTTTATTTCTTTAGAAAGTTCATGGTATCTCTTCTGCACTCTGTATCTGGCAATTCCAACATCTGCAGTCCAAGTCCGTTGTTTCTGTTGACTGTCATAGTGGCTTGCCTTCTCAAACCATGCTCTTCACTGGCTCTTCATCTCTGAGAGTCTTGCAGGCTCAACTTGGAGAAATTTTCCTGCAGAGAAGGCTTGCTTCTGCTTCTGTTCAGAGCCAAAGCGTGCCCTTGTCTAGGATCTTTTAGCTCTGCTGACAGTGTTGGCTCAAAACAGTTTTAGGCTTGGTTTACCCTCCTTGTTGCTATTCCAAGGTAATATTCTTATAGGAGGAAGGTAATGCTTACCTTCCTCCTCCCCCTTACCTGGCTTTGCAGTGTGGCGCCGTGTGGCTTTCTGTCACCTACCATTACAGTGTCCCCTGCAGCAGCCTTGGCTCCCCACCTGCCCTGGCCTTTGCTTCCAGCCTCCCACATTGGGGCCTCAGCTCCTACCACTCCTGATGCAGGTCTTTGTTTGTTGTTGAAGAAAGGGTCTCTTCTGCCTTTTGCAAGACCACTGGTGACTCAGTGCATGTGTACATAAAGTTTCAGTTGTGGGGAAATTGCAGGAGGCTTCCTAAGATCTTAGTCATTCATGACAACGGAAGCATACCATTTTCCAACACATTAAAAATCTTAATTTGCAGTAAAAGTCAGGGATGGTTGGACCAATTGGGGACAATTATATTAGCTAAGACACATCAGAAGCAAAAGAAGGAAGTACTGAGAACACTGGGTTTCAAGCCAGAGGCCAATTTCTGGGCAGTGGCTCCCATGCTAGTCTCTGGTGTCTAGCAAGTGGTGTCAGGAGACACTGAGCTCTATTCTTTCTTTGAACAGATGGCAGAAGACAACTCCCAGGTAGATCCTGGATCCCAGGACACTTTCAGGCATGAGGCATCACTGCAAACCCGTTCCCGGTCTATGGAGACGCTGTTACGCAGATTGAGGGCCATTGATGCCAAGAAGGGTGACACGTTTGCTAACATCCTGGATGTGGTGGGGGAGTTTGGCACATTCCAGAGGAGGCTGGTGGCCCTCACCTTCATCCCCAACATCATATCCGGCTTCTTCGTGTTTATTGATTCGTTCGTGTTTGAAGCCCAGAAGCCGTACTGCAACACCAGCTGGATCCTGGCAGTGAACTCCAACCTGTCAGAGGCTGAGCAAATGAATCTGACCGTGCCCCGAGAACCCGATGGCACTTTTCAGACATGCCAAATGTACTTACCTGTGCTGTGGGATATAGATTATATTATCCAATTTGGCCTCAACTATACAGACACATGCCAAGATGGGTGGATCTATCCTGGTGCCACAAAGCGATCGCTAATCAATGAGGTATGCCTTGCCCTGGGATCTCTGTAGCACCCCACAGTGCCCCTTCCCTCACTGAACAGGTGGGGAAAGTGAGGCTGAGATACAGAAAGCCATTAGCCTGAGGTCATCCTACAGAAGCAGGGCCTGGGCAAAAAACTGAGGCTAGCTGCTGCCCAGCCGTGGCCCCGCCTGTGCATTATAGAGCACATTTCAGGTAGAGACAGGTGTTGGATGGCAGGGTGTGCCATCTGCCCAGGGAGTTGCTTCTATACTTGTGGCTCTGCCCTTTGAACTCAAAGAAGATAAGGAATGGGGAAAGAAGCAGCTTTACTCAGGTATCTCTTACAGGGTTTCTCAACCTGAGCTGCAACCTGGGCCTTTTACAGCACACAGCTGCCTCATCTGGATCTCTAGGCTGGAGCCCAGCATCTGCCTGTAGCAAAGGGTCTGCACTCATTCCTGCCTTTGCTCAGTTACCTCCCTGCCTATCCCCACCTTCTCCGGGATAAGTGACTGACTGCTCTCCAGGGGCCTGTGTGCCAGTGTCTGCTGGGTGCAGGACAGGATGCAGAAGCAACAGTTGCACACACAGTTCCCTGCCCCTACTGCCAGGTCCCCGTGCCTGTACGCCCCACTCCAGGGTGAGGCTCAGTCCCAGGAGCCAAAGGCTGCCCTGGCTGGAAACCCATTACTGACCGATCCCCTATCTGACCTACAGTTTGACCTGGTGTGTGGCAGGAAGCTGAACAAGGGCACCGTGCACACCATGTTCACAACGGGGCTCCTGATAGGCTGTTTCATATTCGGAATCATAAGTGACAAGTGAGTCCCCCAGAGTTCCCCAGGGCATCCTGCCTCCTCCTCGTGGGCATTCCGAGCTGAAGAGTTTCACGGCAAGGGAGGCGTCGCTGGCGGATTTCTGGGGTCCCATGGGGTGGTTCAGGGCCTGGCCCAGGTGTCCACCTGGGGCCAGCCAAGGAGATCCTGGCGCACGGTGCAGCCGCCCTTCCTCGCCTGTAGGATGGGCCGCTACCCTGCCATCCTGCTGTCGCTGCTGGGGCTGACCATCTGTGGCTTCGGGATGGCCTTCGTGAACGATTTTCACCTGTATTTGTTCTTCCGCTTCTGCGCCTCACAGGCTTTGGTGGGCTATAGCATTAGCAGCATGAGTTTAGGTGAGACTGGTCCTCCCACCGAGCGAGCGGGGTGGGGGCCGGGCGGAGGGAGGCACGGGGTGGGGTGGTGGGGAGATGCGGTGGCAGTGGCAAGGGGGCGGGGCTTGCCTAGGAGGGGCACGGAGGCGGGGTCTGGGTGTGCTGTGCCCGGCCATTGGATGGGCCGGAGGTCAGCCTGGGCTGGGTATGGCAGGGAGACATGGGAACAGAGTCTGCCCTAGGCTGGACTTGGCAGGGTCTGGCTGGTGGCAAATGGTTGGGGTGGCACTGGGCTGACCTGTACCTGCTGGAAGCCCAGAAGACACAGAGTCAGGCCCTAACTGGGCTGGTAGCAGTGGGAAAAAAATCTCCATTCTTGGCTGCCTGGAGATGCCCAGAATGCACCACTTCCACCTTCATTCTCCATGCTAAACCCCTCACAGCTCACACATTCCCTGCCTCCCAAACTCCTTGCACACCCGCACGCCCACAGAGTACATTTATGGAGCCCTTAAGAAAGGCCAGGCAGCCACTAAGCCCTTTAGATACATTGTTTGATTTCATCCTGACAACACTATTCGGTAGGAACTATTCTATTATTCCTTGAGCTGAGGAGGATACTTCAGAGAAGTTAACCAACTTGCTCAGGGTCACACAGCAGTTAAGTGAAGAAGCTGGGATTGCATCCTGGCCTATGTGATGCTAGAGCCCTCAGTACACCCTTCTAGCTGCAATCACCTGGGGTGTTCGGGGTTCCCCTGGCAGGAGACCTCTTCTCAGTGGGAGGTCCTCTGAGAGCCCCAGGCCTAGATGGCCAAGGCACTGATGCACTCAGAGCAAAGGCAAGGACAGTGATTGTGGTCAGGCCACGAGTGGGGTGTTGTGCCTACAACCAGGCCCTCGCCGTGAGAGGCATGCGGTTGGGCAGGAGGGGTTCAGAGGGAGCAGCCTGGTTGAGAAGGGATGGAAGGCTATGGATGAGATTGGGAGGTTGAGGCAAGGGGCTTGGGGTGTGCTCTGGGGAACAGAGGCACTCTTCCTGGTGTTGGGGGGCTGTCTCTGGACCTAGTGCAGGTCACAAGCAGGCAGAAGAACCTTTGCCCAATCTGAACTGTCCAGAGCAGGGTGGGTGTCCCAAAAGGCTAGATGGGGGGGGGGGCTGCCCTGGGGACCTTGAACTTACCATGGTTTTGTCCTCTTGGCCTCTGCACAGTCACCGAGTGGCTAGTGGGTGAGCACCGGGCCCACGGCATCATCCTGGGATACTGCTTTTTCGATGTGGGGGCCCTGTTCCTGACCGGGCTTGCCTACAGTATTTCCCACTGGCGGCTGCTGTTTCTGGTGGGCGGGTTGCCTGTGTTCTCCCTCATCTTCTATATCTGGTGAGCAAGCGAGTCCAGGCCATGCACAGGGCTGGGTCCGGTGGGCTGCATATGGTGGGGGGTGTGGAGGGGCCCCGAAGCTGGGGGAGCGGGGAGGATTTCACTGGGAGAAAGTGCCAGCGTCTGGGAGAAGGAGCCAAGGGCAGAGCCTCTGGAACCCCGGCATTACGACGCCTCGGAGGAGACCCCCAGAGAGATGTCCGAGAGGTGGTGAGAAAACCCGGAGGAAGAGTATTGAAAGGCAAGGGTTCAAAGACAAGGGAAGGGGTCAGGCTTGAAGGCAAGAGAGGTGAGTCTGGGGAAGGGTCTGCTGGCCGCGGTGACCATCTTGAGGTGGCTTCCCTGCCGTGGCAGGAGGTTAAGGAGTCTAGGAGCTGAAGAAATGGAGCCACCCGGGGAGATGGCTCTTGTGGGGAAAGAGGGAGACAGTGACGACTTGTGTGAGCAGCCAAGATGGCGTCAGGGAAGGGCCCCTGATGTCTTCAGTTCCAGGGGAGTCACAGACAGGAACCTGAGAGCTGTGATGGAGCAGCACTTGCAGAGACAGCAGGAGGGCTGAGGGGGACAAGAGTGAGATGGCGTGGGTGGCCGCAGCCACGTAGAAGGGGAGGGACAGAGGGAAGGCAGAGAGGGAGGCGTGAGGGAGACAGCTGAAAGAACTCACTGGGAAATAGGGGTTCATGGCTTGACATTAAACATTTAATAAGTGTTATTAGTGTAATATGATCGAAACTAGATTAAAAACTAAATAATATTGACAGGTTTGTGATGAAAAATAAGCCTGATTTCAGCTCCGCCCAGTCCCTAATTCATTCCCCGGAACTATCACACTGAACTCTGTCAGCTCCTTCTCAGGGTCCATGTCTTCATAGTCCTTCGTGCCACTCACAGACAGCTTCTTGAATGGGCGGAACCCAGCTGAGTACATTTTTTCTTCAGCCACTGTCTTCAGACATGTCCTGTCAGTGTCCCTTCCATGACACTTGACGAAATACCTTGGGCAGGCTCCATCTCCTTCCAGCCACTCTTGGTGGCAAGAATAAGTCCCATCTTGATAAGAAAGACTCACTTTCAGTCATTCAAAACTCCGGCCCAGTTTCATTGAAAATGGCAGCCTTCCATGAAATCCACAGCTCGTGCCTGGCCTCCCCCTGAGGCTCGTGCCCAAAGGGGACAAGGTCGCTTCTGACCCAAGGTGCTTCCTTCTGTGTCCTCTGTTCCCAGTTTTTCAGCAGGGCAGGGTGCATCTGAGAAGAGAGACCAATGACTTACATGACTGGGGCGGTCACAGTCTGTCAGTGACCTGCATGGGTCGGTGGTCAAATGCCAGCTCTCTCAGGTGCCCCTCTGTTGGGCTCCGAGAGCAGGAGTGTCCCAATGGCCCCAGCTGTCTCTTGTTTCTTCCCTCAGCTCCTGTCCCTGCAACCCACTGCACAGCCTCTTTCTGTAGGGGTCTCCTCGCCCAGCACATGGGGCGCCTTTAAGACAGCAGAGTCCACTTGGCCAGGAAACCTCACTGTCCCCCAATCCCACCCTGCCACGGTGCACTGTTTCCACCAACCTCTTGCTTTAATTATACCCAGGCGAGAGAAGGGCAACGTGCTCCGGGTTTCCATGGGCCCTCAGACTTCAGGAGCCACATATGAACTCTCCCATAAACTCCCTTACTATCTGGAGTGCCAGGCCAAGCCCCTAAATCTCGGAGTCAGCGAGCTCCATCCTGAGCGTGGGACGACGGCCAATGCCCTTTTTTGCTTCCAGAATGCAATGGTGGGGCAGGCACCAGGATAGGAATTCCCATTGCAAAACGGAGACATAGGAAAGAAGACAAGGATAATAGGTCCCCACCAAATCCAAAACCCAACAGGGCAAGCATTAAATCTCAAGGCTCCAGAATAAATTTCTCTGAGTCAAAGTCCCACATTCTGGACACACTGGTGCGAGGGTGAGGCCCCAAGGGCCCTGGGCAGCTCTGCCCCTGTGGCGTTGCTGGGTGCCGCACACATGCAGCTCTTACACATCGGAGTCGAGCACAGCAGCTATCCCAGCCTGGAGTTGCACGCTGGTGGCTCTGCCAGTTTGAGGTCTGCAGGCTGGACCTGTCCCCACAGGTCTGCTGGGCATTGCCCTAGGAGGGGCTCTCTGGGGCAGCCCTGTCCCTGTGGCCATGCTCTCCCTGAGCTCCGAGACTCTTCAGGGCTCCCTATGACATGTGGGTAGAGACAGTCGCATACCCACAGCTCCTGCACCGTTGGCACCACGCGAACACGGCCATGGTTCACCCTGTGACCTCTGCAGGGATGGCCATGCAGGCTGCACCCCAGTTAGGCCCACTGGAGTCACACCGGGGTGGCTAAGGAGTGCTGCACCCAAATGCGGGAGCAGGGACTTGAGGCAGCTCCTAGCAGTGACCCTGATGTTCCGAGGATGCCCCTCGTCCCTATTTTGACATAGCTCTGTCGCCTAGGCCTTGGTAATCTGCACCTGTGATGGGAGGGATAGCACAAATAATCTCCGAGATGCCTTGGAGGCCATTCTTTTAGAGTCTTCCCTAATAGTGCCTGGCTTCTGCCGATCCAGACCAGCCTCGTCATCAAACAGCAGCTTGGCCACATCCGTGGTGTTCGCTCCAAACACACGTTGGTGATCATGAGAAAGGAGTGGACAATGTGGCCAGGCTGAGAATTTTCCAGATCTTTAAGTTCTGCTTCTCTTTTGATTATAAATCATGTCTTTAATTTCTTTCTCTCCTTTTGCATTTTACAATAAACAGGAGAGATAAACCATGCTGCACCTTCAAGAGTTTGCTTAGAGATTTCTTCTGCTGAATGTCCTATTTCATCTCTCACAAGTTCCTTCTTCCACAAAACAATAGGACATGAATATAGTTCAGGCATATTCTTGGCCAATCTTTCACAAGAATTGCTTTGCTTCCACTTTCCGATAACAGGGTCCTCATTTCCATCTGAGACTGCATCAGAATGTCCTTTACTGTGCATATTTCTATCAACATTCTGTTTGTGAGCTCTTAGGTAATCTCTAAGGAGAATGAGGCTTTCTTTGTACCCCTCTTCTTCTGCCGAGCCCTCACCAGATCACCCTGAACATTCCATTCATGGCTATTTGGGCTTTTCTATGCACCTCCAAACTCTTCCAGCCTCTGCCCATTACCCAGTTCCAAAGCTGCTTCTGCATTTGTTAGAGCAGCACCCCACTCTGGGTACCAGTTTCTGTCTTCGTACTTTTGGGCTGCTACAATGAAATGCCTTAGGCTGGGTGGCTTATAAACAACAGAAATGCATTGCTCGCAGTTCTGGAGGCCGTGAAGTCCAAGATCAAGGCGCCAACAGATTCGGTGTCGGATGAGGACGCTCACAGACGGCAACTTCTTGCTGTATCCACACATGGTGGAAGGCTCCTTGGGCTTCTCTTATCTGGTCACTTATGCCATTTATGAGAGCTGTCCCCTCGTGACCTAATCACCTCCCAAAGGGCCCAGCTCCTGATACCATTGCACTGAGGATAGGTTTCAACACATGAACTTTGGGAGATACCAACATTCAGTCCATGGCACCTGCTGACACAGTCAGAAGTACTCCTTCATTTCCCTTTGGGTTTCAGTGCATCTGTTACTTCTCTCTTACTGTGTCCCCTGTCCCATTCTCATTGTTCTTGAGAACTGGTATCTTTCATTTTATTCTGGTTTTTCAAGGCACATGTGGTCAATTCCCCATTTTGGGAATCATCAGTTTGATGACTTTTGTTAGGAAAGTTCTTGAGCCTCAGGGTGGAAAAGGATGATTGACTGCTGGACTCTGGGGGAGGGAGGAGGAGCAGGACAGTAGAGGGAATGAAGTTGTCTCCAGTGTCCTGAGTGTATGTTTGTGGCCACTGGCCTCATAGTCCAGGTCAGGAAGGGAGCGCGGGTGCAGGAACTGAGCAGGGTGATGGCATAGTTTCATAAGGAGGTTGTTCCTTATGGAACTGAGGTTATACCTTCTCTGCCTCAGTGACCTTGAGCAAGCCCTTATGCCTTGAGGCTGGGAATAAAATGAGGACAATCACGCTGGGTCTAGATGTGGGCAAGGATGAAACAAGACCATATGTACAAGGACGCCAAGCTCAGTTCCTGGCACATAAGTTCTTTACATGTTAATGTGCATGGATTCTGACAAACTGGGAGGATTGGGGAAAAAAACTGAGAGGTGAGAGTTATTCTGAGGCCACAGGCAATGGAATGTGGCAGGGGAGAGGCAGGATGGAGTGGAGGCCTTCACTCACCCCTCCCTGCACCCAAGCAGGGTCAAGACCTGGGGCCAGATTCAGGGTCCTGCCCCCTCATGCTCTCCACCTGCTGGGGAGACAGGAGATGTCCCAACTACAGGGATGGGGGCTTGACTGCAGGGAGTGGGCTTGGAGACCGGTGGCCTCCACATGCCTGGGCAGATGGGCTCATCCCTGAGCTCTTAGAATGACTGAGAGTAGATAAAGGAGGCTGTAGGCAGAGACACAAGCGCCAAGGATGTCCCCAAACAGCAGTGGGGTGGCTGTGTGTGGCCTACACAGGGGGAGGGCTGACTGCCAGGGAGGAACAGCGGGCAGCTTGAGATTGGGGGTGGCCTTCAAGGCCCTGACATCTGAAGTCACTTCATGCTGGAGCAGGGTGGCCACAGCTGAGGCTGGGATGGGGCCAACTTGGGTCCCTGGGGCATCCTGCAATACTGAGATAAGAGCGGGCTGGGCCACGCGCAGGATTCTCCCGGAGTCCCCACGGTGGCTGATGATGAAAGGGAAGGTGAAGGAGGCCAAGAAGTTGCTGTGCTACGCAGCCAGTGTGAACAAGAGGACCATTCCTTTAAACCTGCTGGATGAGGTGAGAGGCTTCAGGCCAGGAGTGGGGCAGTGGGCTGTGGAAAGGCCCCTTTCGTCCCCATACAGAAGGTGTCCCCAGCCCACTGCTGGGGACAGTGGTGACAGCAAAATTGAACCCTGCCAGGGGCATGTTGAAAGCCAGCTGGCACCGTGGGGGCGGGAAGGCTTTGTGGGTCCTGGGGTGCTGGGGAGTGAGCTGGGTCTCAGCCCTCCCTCTGGCTGGTCCTGCCTGTCCTGTAGCTGCAGCTGCCCGGAAAGCAGGTGTCTACGGCCACTGTCCTGGACTTCTGTAGCAATAGGCAACTCTGCAAGATGACCTTTGTGTTGAGTGCTGTGTGGTGAGTGCTCAGAGCTGGCTGGCAGGGGGAGTGTAAACAGACCGGCAGGCCAGAGACACCCTCGCGGGAGAGGGGACTGAGGTGTGGCCGGGCTGCAGGGCAGAGGGCCGGGTGACACACAGCATGGGGTTCTGCGCACCTTCCTCTAACCCATTCATCCTCCCCTGACCCTCTCTCCTCTGCCTCCATCTTTATGCCTGGCTCTGTGACCGTGTGTCTGTGTCTGTGTGTGTTTTTCTTCTGGCTCTTCCAGGTTTACTGGCAGTTATGGCTATTTCACCCTGAAAATCATGATGAAAGAGATCTGCGTCAGCATCTACCTCCGACAGATGGTCTTTAGCCTCATGGAGTTGCCTGCCCGGCTGTGCTGCATCTTTCTCGTGGAGCAGATTGGCAAAAAGTGGAGCCTGACTGTGACTCTCTTCCAAGCTTCCATCGTGTACCTGATCCTCATTTTCCTCCCCAAAGGTGGGGCTCCCCTTCCCCAGGGCCTGCCCAGCCTTCCAGCTTCCTCTGGAGTCCCTGCCAAGCGTTTCTGCCCAGGCCAGCCACGGAGACACCCTGGGAGTCATCTCCTGCACCCACAGCTCACCGCCCCACTACTGCCTCTCCAGAGCAGGTGCCAATCCCTGGAGCACTGCCCCTCCCGGGGGGTGTCCCCCCGAGACAGGGCACCCACAGTCTCAGAGGCCTGAGAGAGCAGGATGTGCTGTTCTTCGGAATCCTCCTTGGGTGGGAGACCGGGAACCTCCTTCCTGCTCATTCCAGTCCACTCCCCAGCAGATCTAACAGTTAAATGTGAACACATGGCAGCAGAAATACTCTTGCAACTGCTACGCCAGCACCCGCCTCTCAACTGCAGCCCCTTTGCCTGGGAAATGCCTATTATCTGCCCCTCCACCAGGAATAACCTGACCCTAAAACTGAGTGTGATACCGGGTTTAACTCTCAGGGACTATTCTTGCATGGAGGCATCTCCTTCCCAGGGGCTCAGGGCCCTGCTCCTGTGGGATTGGCACTAGCAAAGGAGCAGGGGAGGACTGGTAGCATTTTCAAAATCTCAGCAAGCCCTAAACAATGAACATGCGCCAGCACACAGAGCTACGCTGCCCAGGGCGGAGGTGGCAGTGTACACCCACTTACGCTTACTGACTGCCAGAGCCCTCTGGACAGTGGGGGCCAGGGCAGGGGAGGCTGCTTCAGGGTCTTCCCTGAGTGTCTCTGTCCCTTTTCATGGATGTCAGAACTGTGTGTATCCACTGGGACCCTTCCTCTCCCAAATGTTGGCAGTGTTGATTGGCTAATACAAAATGGGGAAACGAAAACATTCTTAAACATCTATTGCTTGGGAGGTGGTATTTCCAGGGGTGGGGGAAAGGGGTTGTGGGGAGGTGGGGACAGAGTCTTGCTCTGTACCCGGGCTAGAGTGCGGTGGCATCATCATAGCTCACTCCAACCTCCAACTCCTGGGCTCAAGCGATCCTCCTGCCTCAGCCTCCAAAGTAGCTGCGACGACAGGCGCAGACCACCACGCCCAGCTAATTTTTCTATTTTTTGTAGATACCGAGTCTCACGCTTGCTAAGACTGGTCTTGAACTCCTTCCCTCTAGCAATCCTCCTGCCTATGCCTCCCAAAGTGCTAGGATTAAATGCAAGGGGTACCACCTGGCCCTTGGTGGATTTTTTTTAAAAAAGTAGATCTATACTGAGTTGCAGCAGAAATAAGAAAAACTCTTAGATGTGTGAGAGAAACTAGCAACAGAGTCCCCAGTGGATAAAAGTAGATCTCTGATTACATCTCCAAGTGCAGAAAAGCCAGCTCCAGGGTGGGGAGTGAGGCTGGGGCAGGGTCCGAGGAGGCTGACAGAGCAGGCAAACAAGGACTCCCCCTTCGCCTGCCTTTCGGAGTGGGGTTCCTGGTCGCACAGCCTGTCCTCACTGCCTCGGGGTGCACAGCCAGCAGCCCAGAGTCAGGCATCCTGGGATGATGAGGACCAGCCCCAGCTGTCAGGCCCCAGGGCCCAAACGCCGCCCTGCCTGGACGGCCTTGCAGAGCCCAGGTGGGAGAGCCCTGGGCAGGACCCTGGCACGCAGGACACAGGCCTGGCCCGAGGGGATGCCTGAGAGGCAGCAGGCAGGTGGCATGAGGGACGCAGCCACTGAGTGACGCAGAGGAGCAGAGGACAGAGCCCTGTAGGCAGAGGCGTGGGGGATGGGTGCGACAATGCGGACTGTGATGGGAGAGGCCATGGGGGCCATGGGGGAGGCTCCCCGTCCCCGCTGACCAACCCTCGCGCTGCAGGCGTACGAACTCCCAGCTTGGCCGGGCCTCTGGCCGACTGCCCCTCCTCCCACTGAACGCCTGAGCCGCCGCCCAGCCGAGCAGGTGCTGGGGGAGGACCGTTCAGATGCCTTCTGGGAGGGGTGGAGACAGGGCTGATATCAGCGCAGCCCTCCCCGCTGCCTTGAGGGCAGCTTGGTCCCGGTCTCAGGTGACCGTGTTTCTAGCCACAGAGCAGAAATCCATGATGATCTTGGTGATCGTGTTTGGACAGTTCAGCCTGGCCGTCAGTGCCACCGTGTTCTTCATCCACACTGCCGAGCTCTTCCCCACCGTCCTCAGGTAGGGGGCCTGGTGGCCCAGGGGGTGAGGGCGGGGAGGGACAGTTGTGAGATGAATGCAGCGGCTAAGACCGAGCGTTGGCGTGGTGATGAGCACTGCGCTAAGGGGCTCACGTGCATCATCTCCTTTAACAACCCCAAATCCAAAACGTCCTGCAGACGCTTGCCATTTGTCTCAAACCCTATTTGAGACAAGGAAACCAGAGAGAGGAAGGCACGTGGCCAAGGTCAGACATAGTAAGTGGCAGAGCTGGGCTTTGGCCCCAGGTGGTCTGACTCCGGTCCCCCCAGCCCGTCCTGCACCCACTGCCTGGAACGTGTCTGGGCCACGCTGAGCCTCAGCTGCTTTCTGAGGCTGGGGATGGCGGCGGCGTCTTCCTGCCCCCAGCATCACGGCCCGTGCCTTCTGCCCCCACATCCACAGTCTGCTGCATGGTCCTTCCCTGTCCCCTTCCTGACCCCCTCCCCCAAGCGACGCCTGAGGCAAGGGCTGCCTACTCGGAATCAACGTAGAGCTAAATCCCCCACAGTGAGGGACACGCGTTGAGATGGGACATGGCGGAGACTGGAGGGGTGGCCTTTCAGGCAGCCATGTCCCCCACCCCAGCCGCCTCTGCCAAGAGGCCCTCCAGATCGGCCCTCTCCTCCACTTTCAGGTCTACAGGCCTGGGGCTGGCGACTCTGTCCTGGGCGGCTGGAGCCATCTTGTCCCTGGCAATCGTAAGACTGGGCCCCTCCATCCTGCCCTTCTTCCTCTGCTTCATCTCAGCCATCCTGGCCTTGGGCTTCTCCCTCCTGCTGCCAGAACCTGGAAGTCAGCCCCTCTGCGATTCCCTGGAGCACTTCCCACAAATAAGGTACATGTGCCAGGCCCCAAGTGGCCTGGTTCTGAAGCCACTGGCGCCGAGAGAACGTCATGCATGGTCCAGCCCAACCCCTCTGCCAGAAGGGTCTGTGCCCACAGCAGTCTCCCCGGCTCTTCTGGATGCTGCTACCTGCCCACAGCCGGGCCCAGCCTCTGCCACTGCCGTCCTGCCTGGCTCTCCTGACCCGGCCTGGGCAGGTCCTCTCCTTTCCTTGCCCCTGTCTGCCTGTCTGGACTGGGCACTGCCCTTGGGGACACCTTCCGGGAGCACCCCAGAGATGCCCTGGGCTCCTCCCCCTCCCAGGGCACAGGACACTGGCTCTCTGAGTACCTACCGCTCCTTTCCTGTCTGAACTCCTGGGTCCTCCTAAAGGACCCAGGTTTCACTAATGACTCTGGCCTCTTGGCCCCAGCAGCCCCGGCCCCCATTTGGGACCTGGGCTCCACCCAGCACCTCCATGGGCATTGTTGGCCTCTGGTCTCCTAAGTGTCCCCTAAAGAAGGCTTGTCATGATTGGCAGAACCATCCCTTCTGGAGGTTGTGTCAATGAGCCCATCACTCTCTCCCTGGACCTGAGGGTAAGCACCAGGGAGGACCGGAGGTGGCCTGAGGTCCTACGGTACCCTTTGCTCTACACTATAGGAGTCACTGCCTCTGGCCTTCCTCTGCCCTCCTCCCCACCATCATCCTCTTCCCTCCCTCCCTCCAACTCTCATTGGAGCTACATGTGCTAGACATTGTGCCAGGGCTAAACTGTCCACAAGAGGCCAGAGGTCCCCGCCCTTGAGCAAGCCATAGTTTATGAGGACACAGATATGTAAACAGTTATCACTAGTGGACTGTGACTGCAGGATGTACAGGACTTGTAGGAGTCTAATAAGGGTGGAACTTTAATTTGGAGGGAGTTGGGGAAAATGTCACAGAGGGACATTTGAGTAGGGCTTTGAAGGATGAATAAGAGTGCAACCCACGGCAAGGAGGGGAAGTACCTTACAGCAGAGAAAGGGTGCATAGTGCTTAAGGACATAGGCTCCGGAGCCAGAGAAAGACATGCATTTCTGTTTCTGTGCTACCATTTCCTAGTGTGTGCACAAGGAAGTCACCTCATACCTCTGAGACTCAGGTTCTTCCTTTGCAAAATGGAATGATAACACAGTCATAAAACTAGCTAGGCTTTACTGAGTGTTTACCACATGTCAGATCCTCTTCTATCTATGCCTCATCTCACTTTGTCCTCAAACCCACCAGAGAGGCGAGGTAAGTCCTGTCATTATCCCCCTTTTACAGATGAGAAAACTGAGGCACAGAAAGGTAAGGCCAAGTAGTCCAGCCTTCTCTCCCATAGCATTTTTGAGAGGAATAAACCCACAAAGAAAAGTTGGCACAGGGTCTGGGCACGTGGCAAGGGCTCAGTAAATGCTAGCGATGAAGATGGTGGCCCAAGCTGGAAGGACACAGAAAAGTGAAGGGTGTGGCTGGAGCTGAGAGATGGAGCCGGCCTGATCCTGGAGGGGTGGGTCCCTCCTAGGCCCACTAGGAAGCTCGGCTGGGGACCCGCGGCAGTGAGAAAGCCCCACCTCTCAGGAATGCAGGGTCGGGCTCAGCTGAAGGTGCCTCCGAGTGGCTGTTTTCCTCAGCTCCCAGCACTCACCCTCTGATGGTTCCTTCAGGAGGAAGAGCAAGGAAGACATGTCCGATGACATGTCTGATGACGCGTCTGTAGAAGTGTCCAAGAACACCGTTCTCAATGCCCAAATCCCAAGACTGGACTCACTCGCTATCTCCAAGACTGCCTTGGAGAAACTCAGAGGCCAGGATGAAAGCAAGCAGGAGCCCTGAGGCCAGGTGCCCAGACCTTCTCCGGTTGGAGTCGAGTGGCTGGGTATGGTGTCTTGGATTCCAGGCCACAAATCCCAGGCCCAGACCAGCCTGGGGGCCAGGGCCAGGCCTCCAGATGCAAAACTGGCCCCGCCTGGGGAAGCGAGGCTGGGATTCATTCCAATAAAAGTACCATGTTGGTCTTGAGATGCCAGGTCAATGTTGGCTGCGTCCGAAGCCAGAAGCCCTGGCCATTGGAGGGCAGGTCAGACAGGCCTCCTAGACTCCTAGTGTCTTTGGCTAATCCTTCGGGGACAGTGAGGAGATCTTGGGGTGGGGCCAGAGGGTCACATGCATGAGGACCAGAGTGGACGGAGGGTGGTCCTGCACTTCCACGCCAACCAAACGCTGCAGCCCAGGCTGGCGTGGGTGGGCTTCCGGCTCAAGCACAGGCCCCAACTCAGGTTCCAAAGCCCCATTTATGCCCCAGTCAGGGCAGGGGTGGGATGGGAAGAAATAATTAGATCTTCTCCCATGTGTCCCATCACAGGGGACATTCTCACTCTGTTTTCCTCTGATGCTCCTACATAAGCATGGCCTTGAGGATTATCCATCTCAGTCCTCCTCGGGCATGCCTTCCCGGGTGGCTCCAGTCTAGCTGACCTCTGACCTCCACTACCTGTGGACAGGCCCCCACACCCCAGCTCACAGTCCCCACTGCCCTGCAGGTGAGCCTGCCCCTCCCAGCCAGCGTGGGGGCTCCCCAGGCAGAGCCCAGAACTCCTCAGCCAGGTCGCCAGACTGGAAGCCTGGGGGCCAGGCCCTCAGCGCCACCTCCTCTCTCCCTGGGAGGAGGGGAGGTCCTGAGGTTGGGCCTCTCATCTGCGCACTCCTGCCCAATTTACTGCAAGGTCATGAACTTGCAGAGTAGCTCCCCATCTAAATTCTCAGAGCTCATGAGAGGGGAGGACAAAATCTCAACAGTCCTCTTGGAGCCAGAGCCTCGGTGGCCCCATGGCAGGGTGGAGTGCATGCAGTGCCTTCTTTTTTCCGTATCATTTTCTGGTCCCTCCAGTCTTTCCTGGGTTCCCTAAGACAACCTCCAAAGTGGAGTTTGAAGGGCCCAGAAAGAGTCTCAGAAAGCATCTGCTCGTAAAACTACAGGAGGCTTGGAAAATCTCCATGGCTTCTTCTGGGAGACGCCCATAAGTGAGCGGTGATGGCGGACACATTAGCCATGTTTAAACTCCTCTCCTCAAGTTGCTTTGCCAGAACGAGTCAGCCAGTGCTGCGGGGAACAGGAGGAAAAGAGAGGTGGGGACAAAAAGCTGCTGGGGCAGAGTGGGTGTGAGCAGCTGGCAGCTGGTGGCGGGACCTAGTGCAGCCCTACACGGCTTCAGGTTTTCTTAGGTGGCCACGGTTTGTCAGTCCTTCCAGACGGGACCTCCCTAGTTGTTTACCTAACACATGGCTAATGTCACTTAGAGTTTGACATTATGTAATTTAATGGACTAGACCCAGTCTGTCCCATGCAGCAGCCACTAACCAGATGTGGCTATCGAGGGTCCCAGGGGTGGCTAGTCTGAACTGAGATGTGTTATAACTGTAAAAAAACACACTGCATTTCCAAGATGGGTACGAAACAAAACGTAAACTATCTCACCTGTACTTTTCATATAGATTACATGTAAAACTAGTAGTTTTGCTATATCAAACTAATATTAAAATTCGTTGCACATTTTTAGAACATTTTGAAATACGGCTACCAGAAATTTTAAAATTGCACATATGACCTTCATCTGTGGCTCACATTATATTCCTCTCAGACAGCACTGGACTAGAACATTCCTTTGACCGAGCTCGCACATCATTCTTCTCATACAGGTTTCTTAGTATACTACTGGAAATTAAATGCCATGATTGCATGAAATTATATATTTTCAATAAATTCTCTTTCCCACAAGTGCGATGTTTTATGATACGCTAGGGAGCAACACACGTGTCCGCAGGGTCTCCCTGTGTGCAAAGAGACAGGTGAGTCACCTGAAACTTGTGGTGGTTCCCATGGACGCCTGCGCGCTCTGGTGCTGTCATTTCCCTGGTCACTGATTACCGGCTTATGTGCAATTCTCATCTCATCCGCACCTTTCAGCTGCTTGTATATTTCCACCCAGGCATTGACTTAAATATGGGACTCAGCCTCTTCTCCTCCGTTTATCCCCTTTCATCCCCACCCTCGACACTGGAGGCTGCTTGTGGTTTACCAAAGGGTGCGGGCGCATGGTGAGGAGCTGTATATGGGAAGTGAAGCAGCTCAGTCCTGAGCTCGGCCCTCAGAACATGGGTGGAGGCCGGGCGCGGTGGCTCACGCCTGTAATCCTAGCACTCTGGGAGGCCCAGGTGGGAAGATCGCTCAATGTCAGGAGTTCGAAACCAGTCTGAGCAAGAGCGAGACCTCCGTCTCCACTAAAAATAGAAAGAAATTAATTGGCCAACTAAAAATACATAGAGAAAATTAGCCGGGCATGGTGGCGCATGCCTGTAGTCCCAGCTACCCGGGAGGCTGAGGCAGCAGGATTGCCTGAGCCCAAGAGTTGGAGGTTGCCCTGAGCTAGGCTGACACCATGGCACTCCAGCCCGGGCAACAGAGTGAGACTCTGTCTCAAAAAAAAAAAAAAAAAAAAATGGGTGGAAAACTCAGCGCCCTATGAATGGAAGCCCCAAGCTCAGAAACCAACTTAAAAACTTGTGAATCCTGTTAACGTATTGGCAGAAGCAAAACACAAAACCAGTGCATAGCAAGGTCGCCACAACAATCCAAGAGGCATAGGGCTTTCTAGGGAAGAGGAATCTCGATGAAAATGACTTGTAAACAAAAATTGCTGAGCAGTTGAAGAAACAAAATGGCATAAAAGCAGGCAAAATAAACCAGAGTGTTGGCCATCCATGAGCTAGCGGTGATAGAGCCCTCCTGAAAAGAACTTTATGTTTGTTCAAAATGTTCAGAGATGAAGTAATGTAACTCCTAAGACACAAATTTGGAAAACGGTGCCCATGAATCTTAGAAGTGAACATTATAGTGACTGAATTAAAAAACACAACAGAGAAGTGAAATTGGAATAGACACAGCCCAAGAAAGTGAATTGCTGAATATTCTTTTGTGGGCTATTTCTTTTATTATGAAGGGTCATCCCTCTGTCTCTATTAATGCTTTTTGCCATGACTTTTTTGTCTGATACTTTTACACCTATCTTTTAAACATTTAAATTTAAGAAAAACAGCCGGGTACGGTGGCTCACGCCTGTAATCCTAGCTCTTGGGAGGCCGAGGCAGGCGGATTGCTCAAGGTCAGGAGTTCAAAACCAGCCTGAGCAAGAGCGAGACCCTGTCTCTACTATAAATAGAAAGAAATTAATTGGCCAACTGATATATATATAAAAAATTAGCCGGGCATGGTGGCGCATGCCTGTAGTCCCAGCTACTCGGGAGGCTGAGGCAGAAGGATCGCTCGAGCCCAGGAGTTTGAGGTTGCTGTGAGCTAGGCTGACGCCATGGCACTCTAGCCCGGGCAACACAGTGAGAATATGTCTCAAAGGAAAAAAAAAAAAGAAAAACATACAGAGAAGTGCATACATCTTTAAATGTATGGTTTTGTGAATTATCACAAAGCACACACTTAGAATTCATCACTGGTATCAAAAAAGAGAAAATTACCAGCACCTCAAAGCTCCCTCCTCCTCTCCCAGTCACCTTCCTCCCTCCCTCCAAGGTAATTATTCACCTTCTAACAACATAGGTTACTTTTGCCAGTTTTTGAACTTTTTAAGTCACAGTTTGAACGCTTGCTTCTTTCACTCAACTCTGAGATTCATGCATATCATCACGTGCAGGAGTTTGGTTTTATGCTGTACAAATGTTTTATGCTGTACAAATGTACTACAGTTTGTTCATCCATTTGTCAACAGAAGCCAAACTCTGTAAAATAATTTTAAAGAGATTTATTCTGAGCCAAATTTGAGGACCAAGACCCAGAGCAACACTCAAGAAGCCTTGAGCAAGTGGACTCACTGTGGTTGGGTTACAGTTTGGTTTTAAACACTTCAGGGAGACAGGGGTTACAGGTGAAGTCATAAATCAATACATGGGGTGGGGTGCAGTGGCTCATGTCTGTAATCCTAGCATTCTGGGAGGCCAAGGCGGGCAGAACGCTCAAGGTCAGAAGTTCAAAACTAGCCTGAGCAAGAGTGAGACCCTGTCTCTATTAAAAATAGAAAGAAATTAATTGGCTAATTAAAAATATATAGAAAAAATTAGCCAGGCATGGCGGTGCATGCCTGTAGTCCCAGCTAAGCAGGAGGCTGAGGCAGAAGGATTGCTTGAGCCCAGGAGTTTGAGGCTGCTGTGAGCTAGGCTGACGCCACGGCATTCACTCTAGCCTGGGCAACAAAGCGAGACTCTGTCTCAAAAAAATAAATAAATAAAATCAGAGTAGAAGACTTCCTGTATGTCACATCCTTGACAATACTTAATGTTTTCAGACCTTTACATTTTACCCAACCTGTGGCTGTGTAGTGGTCTCTCTTGGATTTAAATTTGCATTTCTCCCATTCCTAAGTAGGTTGACCACCTTTTCATAAACTTATTGGCCACTTGGATTTCTTATTTTGTGAATACCTAGTCAAGTCTTTCACCTATTTTTGCATGAGTTGTCTGTTCCTGTCCTTAGGGATTTGCAGGAGTTCTCTATTCCTGCCACAAGTCCTCTGCCATTCACATGCATTGCAAACGCCTTCTTTCCTTTTGGTTTGCCTCTTCACTTAAGAAAATTTTTCTTTTTGCCTTTCACATTTACATCTCTAATTCCCCTGAGATTGTTTTATCCTGTATGGTCCAAAGGAGGCTTAGAGTTTCATTTTTTAAATACAGATGCCTGATTTTTCCAGGGTCCCTTATCCAAAGGATGGTTTGGTGTTTTTTTTTCCCACTAGCCTCAGTGCCATCATTAATCAAGTGACTGTACATGTGGGTCTGATTCTGGTTCCCTGTCTTTTTCACTGTTTGCCATTCTTGTGTCAACACTACACTTTCTTAAGTAGTGGTGTGTTCACGTCTTAATATCCAGGAGAGTAAGTTCTCCCACATTGTTTTTCTTTGAAAGGGTCTTGGCTTTCCTTGGCCCTCTGCACTTCCACGTAAATCTTAGAGTCCATTTGCGAAGTTCCACAACAGCAACAACAAATAACTCGTTGGGGTTTGGTTTGGGATTGTGAGGACTCTATGGAGCAATTTACGATATTGAGTCTTCCAATTCAAGAACATGCTATAGTGTCTCTATGTTTGTTTAGGTCTTCTTTAAAGTCCTTTGGTAAAGTTTTAGTTTATAGTTTTATAGTTTCCTCCATAGAGCCCTTGTATGTTTTGTTTTTTATTTGGGGGCGGGGGGATGTGGGGGACAGAGTCTCACTCTGTCGTCAGGGCTAGAGTGCCGTGGCGTCAGCCTAGCTCACAGCAACCTCAAACTACTAGGCTCAAGCGATCCTTCTGCCTCAGCCTCCCAAGTAGCTGGGACTACAGGCATGTGCCACCATGCCCGGCTAATTTTTTCTATATATTTTTAGTTGGCCAATTAATTTCTTTCTATTTTTAATAGAGACAGGGTCTTGCTCTTGCTCAGGCTGGTCTCGAACTCCTGAGCTCAAACGATCTGCCCTCCTTGGCCTCCCAGAGTGCTAGGATTACAGGCATGAGCCACTGAGCCCAGCCCCTCGTATGTTTTTGATGCATTCCTGAGTACTTGATATGTCTTAAGCTATTGTAAATGCTTTTGGTTTTTTAAATTTCATTTTCCATTGATTGCTAATATTGAGAAGTGCAATTTGACTTTTGTATGTTGATTTTATATCCACAGCCTTGTTAAAAATTGTCTTTTCCTTTCCAATGTTTGTCTTATATTTCTTTTTCTTGCCTTATTATACTAGCTAGTCCCCCTGTACTAGCTAGTTTCCCCGGTACAACATGGAAACGAAGTGGTGGATGTGGGCATTCTTGCCTTACCCTTGATTTTTTTTTCTTTTTCTTTTTTTCCTTTGAGTTAGAGTCTTGCTCTTCTGCCCAGGCTGGAGTGTTGTGGCATCATCACAGCTCACTGCAAACTCAGACTCCAGCCTCAAGGGATCCTCCTGCCTTGGCCTCCCAAAGTGCTAGGATTACAGGCGTGAGCTACCGCACCAGCCCTTACCCCTGATTGTAAAGGGAAATCATTCACCATTTCAACATTGTGTGCTTTTTTTTGCTAAGTTTGTTGTATATAGCCACGGTCAGATTAAGGAAGTGCTTTACTATTTCTACTTCACCAGGAGCTTTTTTTCTCCCTTTGGATATTTTTTTTTTTTGAGACAGAGTCTCACTTTGTAGCCCAGGCTAGAGTGAGTGCCATGGTGTCAGCCTAGCTCACAGCAACCCCAAACTCCTGGGCTCAGCGATCCTACTGCCTCAGCCTTCCAAGTAGCTGGGACTACAGGCACATGCCACCATGCCCGGCTAATTTTTATATATATATTTTTTAGTTGGTCAATTAATTTCTTTCTATTTTTGGTAGAGACAGGGTCTTGCTCAGGCTGGTTTCCAACTCCTGACCTTGAGCAATCCTCCCTCCTTGGCCTCCCAGAGTGCTAGAATTACAGGCGTGAGCCACCGCGCCCAGCCTTCCCCCTTTGGGTATTAAATTGTAGCAAATACTGCCCTTTCTGAAAGGATCTTCCTCCATCCCAGGAGCTGTTCAGAGTAGCTGCAGGCCTGAGGCACCAGCTCACCCCCTTTCTAGTTTCCACCCCACAACCCCAATTTATGACCTGGTCCAGCCCCCTGCCCAGCAGACCTGCTCTCAGCCCGGGGCCACATTGATTCCACAGCAGGGGCCTGGGGCTGAGGGTGGGCAGAGCCTCAGAGCTGGTGGGGCAACAAGTATCTCTCATCGTAAGAGCCTTGGCCCCGAGCCGCAGGGCGCAGGCCTCCTCGCCGAGCACGCCTTCCACCGCCAGCATGGACTCGTACAGCTCACTGCTCCTGTGGGGAGCGGCGGGGCTGAGGTCAGGAGGGGACCCTGGGCAGGGGCTCCTGCCCTGTGGACAGTGCGGGGGAGGCCGAGAGGGGCTGTACCTGGCAGTGAAGTAAACCTGCAGGGTGACGGAGGTTGGGGGTGCATTGGTGGGCCATGCCTCCAGCAGCCCACTGCTTGGGGAGACCCTGAAGGCCCCAGCATGCTTGGCTGGCTCCTGCTGGCCTGTAACGAGGGCAAGAGGACACGCCAGCTCAGGCAGCTCCATGTGCCGCCCTGGGAAGCCTTCACCCCCCGCCCCGGAGGCCTGCCCGCATCTCGGGGGTGCACCTCTGGTCTCAGCCTGCACCACAGGCCGGGCAACCCTGGGGTCACTTGGGATGGGGGGACTGGCTGTCTCTGCATGAATTGCAGGTGTGCCAGCCCTGGGAGCCAGTCTGCAGGGACAGGGCACACAGGCCCCTTCCTGCGGGTCTTGTATTATTGCCACAGCCCTGCAGGGGAGCGGTGGGCAGGTGGCAGGGCAGGACATACGCATCAGCACGGTCCAGTAGCTCTGGCAGCCACTCAGGTTCATCAGGTAGACTTCCCGGACTCGCTTCTGGTTCACAAAGCACGTCCCAAAGTCCACCCACTTGGTGGACAGCTGCAGCTCGGGCATGGCCACAATGGCCCGCAGGAGCACCACCTGCGTGCGACCAGGCGACCTAGCCCACTCCACCTGGGCTCTGGGCTGGGGTCTCCACGACACAGGGAACCCTGCCGGCCCCAAGTACTGATGCTCCTGAGGACGGCAGGGGAAGCACCCCAGTGGGCAGCAGGGCGCTGTGCCACCATCAAAGGCCAGGGGCTGCTGCTGGATTATGTGCAGGGAATGGGCCAGGACGGCGCCCTCTGCTCCACCTGCCATCCCTGCCACCCTCCCACCAAGCTCTGGTCCCTGTTCCAGGTCCAGTCGGGCCACCCTCCTGCCATAGGACCCCCTGTGGTCCGGCCCTCAGTCCCTCTTGGGCCCTGGGCCATCTGGCGCTGTCCCTCAGCCTCAGGCCCCACCCGTGTCCTGCTCTAGCTCCCGACAGTGCCCGCATTACCCTCAGGTGCTGCCTGCCGTACACAACCCCGTTGCCTGGGCCCCCACCTGCGCCCCAGCAGCTGCCCAGGTGCCAGCTAGAGAGCGGCGCCACCACTCAGCCTGCTGCTCTGGCCTCTCTGGAGTCCTCCCTGGGCCCATCCCTCACAGCCGCACCTGCGGCCCAGCTCGGCCTCCCCACCACGCTTGGGGACCTTCTGGCCGGCGGTGCTCCCCTGGTGCTCGAATCCCCACAGGAGCCCGAGAGTCGTCCCCCCCAGCTGCCTCGGGTGCTCGCTGTCCCCACCCATCAGGCCATTCCCGCAGCCTGGCTGTCAGAGTGTTTCCCTTCTCCCTCGATTAAACCATGTGCGGGCTTCACGTGCCACCACCTGCAGGGAGCCTTCCCTGATTTCCCACCCTCCAGCCCCTCACCAGGCTCTGGGCTCCTGAGACAGGAAAGGATGAGGACCCTCATCTCTCTGTGCTCAGGGCGGGCCTCTTTCCAGGCCAGACTGAGCCCCCGGGCAGGGCCTGCGGGTGCTGTCCTCCTCTGGCCAGCACAGAGCCCGGCCGGCTGCACCTCCCCAGGCGGGCAGGCTGGGACTCGCCTGCGTGGTGTGGTTGGTGTACTCCAGGAGCAGGTCCTGAGCAAACTCCATCTCCTTCTCTCCACTGGCGCTCTGCCGAATGTCCACCCCGGGCAGCATCTGGTCGGCCGGGAGCTTCTGGTAGGAGAGCAGCTCCAGGGAGAGCGAGAAGGACACGTTCACCTGGGCGGACGTGGGCGCAGCGTCATCCCAGGCTGCTGAGGGCAGGCGGCCACTTCCCCACCTGCAGCTGCGGCCCAGCCCTGCAGGCCCAGCCGGGCCCAGCCCTGCCCAGCAGCGCCCCCGCCTGGTGCTTCCGTCCCACGGACGCTGCCCAGCACCCACTGAGCCCAGCACCCTGCTCCTGCTGGGCCAAGCCGTGCCTGCCCTCTGGGTCAGAGCCACCCGTTACCACCACGCATGCCCGGGCTGTGGCTGGGCCCTTGGGCTCTGGAGGGACTTGGTCTCTATCCCGAGGACCCTGAAGAGCCTCTGCCGGGTTTTTAGCAGGGAAATGTGCAAGTGAGCTTCACCTGCCACGGGGTCACTGGCTCTGTGGGGGGTGGCCTGCGGGAGCACACGTGGGTGTGAGGACACCCGTCCGGAGGCTGAGACCGTCACTCAGGCTGGACAGGTGGAGCTCGGCCTCCTGCCTCCCAGACACGGGTCTGTAGACCTAGCTCGGAAATATTTACCTAGAGCACCTGTTGGAAGTACAGGTGCAAGAGCAAATCAGTAAGACTCTTTATTAAGATCTTAGAAAGGCTTGACTATGCCTCCTAGACCCTTTCAACTAGAGCATTATCGTTTAGTAGAAGCTTCTGCACTGTTCTATATCAATGTTGTCCAATACAGGCGCCGTTAGCCACATGTGGCTATTGAGCACTTGAAATGTGGGCAATATAACTGAGGAGTTGAATTTTTAAATTTATTTGAATGATTCAATATAAATAGCCACCATAGCTAGTATCTACTGTAATGCAGGGTCTCACCCAGAAATACTGAATCAGAGCTGTGGTGAATAGGGCCTAGAACTCTGTGTTTTAACAAGGTGATTCTGATGCTCAAGTTTGAGAATCACCAAGTTAGAGTTCAGTAACAAAAAGGTCAACGTTTTCGGAAAGTTTGAAACATCTCTAAACAACTCTGGGTCTTAGAAGAAGACACTACAGAAATTAGAAAATATTTAGGACTGAATGATAACAAAAAGATTGTCTACCAAATTTGTGGGTTACGGCTAAAACAATGATAACAGGAAAACTTAAGAGTCTTAATGCTTATATTAACAAAGAAGAAAGGCTGAAAATTAATAAGGGAGGTATTTCAATTTAAGAACTTAGAAATAGGCCGGGTGCAGTGGCTCACGCCTGTAATCCTAGCACTCTGGGAGGCTAAGGAGTGAGGATCGCTCAAGGTCAGGAGTTCAAGCTCAGCCTGAGCAAGAGTGAGACCCTGTCTCCACTTAAGAAAATAGAAAGAAATTAGCTGGACAACTAAAAATATATATAGAAAAATTATTCGGGCATGGTGGTGCATGACTATAGTCCCAGCTCCTTGGGAGGCTGAGGCAGGAGGATCGCTTGAACCCAGGAATTTGAGGTTGCTGTGAGATAGGCTGATGCCACAGCACTCTAGCCCGGGCAACAGAGTGAGACTCTGTCTCAAAAATAAATAAGAAGTTAGAAATAGTAGAGCTACATACACCCATCAAATATGTAAAAAATAAAATGATAAAGAGAAAAACAGAGACCAATGACATAGAAAACAAAGATATAGAAGACAAAGAAAGTCAAAATTTGGCTGAGAATATTAATTATATGGACCTGCCAATATTCTTTAGAAAACAGAGAAGGTACAAATAAATACTATTAGCAGTTAATAGGGAAAGAGGCTTCTCAAAAGGCCACAAAATTATCATATGGCCCAGCAATTCCACTCCTAGGTATATACCCAAGAGAAATAAAAACACATGTTCCCACACAAACTTATACACAACTGTTCATAGCAGCATTATTCATAATAGCACAAAATTAAAACAATTTAAATGTCTATCGATCGATGAATGGATACATAGATGTGCTATATCCATATGACAGAATATTTTTTGGGAAAAATAAGAAGGAAGGGAGTACTGATACATGCTATAATATGGATGAATCTTGAAAACATTGTGCTAAGTGAAACAAGCCCATCATAAAAGACCACGTGTTGTAAGATTCTGTTTATTTGAAATGCCTCGAATAGGCAAACGCCTAGAGACAGGTAATAGATTAGTGGTTGTGGGGGAATGGGGTTTGGGGATCATAAGGGTGACCCTATGAGGTATGGGGATTCTTTTGGAGGTGATGAATATGTCCTAAAATTGGTGGTGGTGACGGTTACACAATTCTGTGAATGTGCTAACAACCCTTGAGTGGCATAATCTCAATGGGTTAATTATATGGCATGTGACATAGGTCAATAAGGATGTGAGTTTTAAATAAACGAAGATTAGTAGAAATCAGAGAGTGGAGAAGTAAGGAGTAAGGCGTTGTCTCTGCACGGGGCTAGAAGTGCAAATCGTGCACCCTTTCTGCAGGGGAGTCTGGCAATGTGTATGAATATGTAAAATTTGTTTATACCCTTTGACCCAGTAATTCTGGAATTTACCTGAAGGAGATAATTACACAGATATGAAAATATGTATGCACAAGGATGTTCATTAGTGCTTTGTTACATTAAAAATACAGAAAAATTGAAAATAACTTTAAGTCATTGCTAGGAGACACTATTGTTCAGATGAAGTCATCAATGTCATTTTATAATAAAGTTCCATATTTACGGACATGAAAGATGTCCATGACATAATGTTGAGGGAAGTAATCAGTTTAGCGGAAACCCACATGTAATATATGTATGGTGGTTATATAAACCTTAGACATTTATTTATACACAGAGGGATGTGTTAAGAGTGGTTTCCAGGCCGGGCACGATGGCTCATGCCTGTAATCCTAGCACTTTGGGAGGCCAAGGAGGGTAGATTGTTTGAGCTCAGGAGTTCGAGACCAACCTGAGCAAGAGCGAGACCCCGTCTCTACTAAAAATAGAAAGAAATTAATTGGCCAACTAAAAATATACAGAAAAAAATTAGCCAGGCATGGTGGCACCTGCCTGTAATCCCAGCTACTCGAGAGGCTGAGGCAGAAGGATTGCTTGAGCCCAGTAGTTTGACGCCACGGCACCCTAGCCAGGGCAACAAGAGTGAGACTCTGTCTCAAAGAAAAAAAAAAAAAAAAAAGAGTGGTTTCCACTAGATAGAGGGGTTTATGGAAATATTTAAAACATTTTCTTATTTGTATTTTTCTGTAATGTTTGAATTTTTTAAGATATGTATCATGTTTATAAAGACATCAAAGTCATTCCCAAAAAGGGAAAATAATTTTTGAAAATTGTTTAAAGAAACAGGTGTGAACCAAAATAAAATCTTAAGCCCCGACTGAATGGACCCCCTCTTGGCCCAAGGGACAAGCTCTCAAAAAAACCTTAAAGCTGAGTTGCCGGCCATGAGCAGAAGGGAGGTCAGACATACCTAGTCATGCCCTGTCCCTTTCGGAGTTATTCTTTATAACAATAAAATATTAATACAAAGTCATTAACAACTCTAAGGCCATGTAAGACAAAGGTTAAACCACACCTGTAGGTCGTCAATTTCCTTAACAGATCACTTGAGTCTTGGTATATGTCCAGTGTATGCCCGGTGGCTTATCTCTGATTAACAGACTTCCTTATCTTACCTTAAAACATTCTAACCCTTTGGGTAAAAGCTTCATTTCTTTAACCAATTACAAATCAAAGGGTCTTTAAACCCACTTATAACCTGTAATCCTTCGCTTCAAGATGTCCTGCCTTTTGGGGCCAAACCAATGTACACGTACCATATACTGATTTTTGACTTTACATGTACTTCCTGTGTCCCTGAAATGTATAAAACCAAACTGTAACCCAACCGCAGCAAGACCATGTGCTCAAGGCTTCGTGGGAGTGGCTCTCGGGGCCATGGTTGCACGTATTCAGCTGAAACTAAACCTCTTTATTGTACAGAGTGTGGGTTCTTTTCCATTGACAGAGGACAAAAAGGCAAGTTCTACTAAATAGTTGAGGAATATATTATCCAACCTCGCAGCAATTTATCCAGAAGATAATAAAAGAAGATCCAATTTATGAGGCTTACAAAGGCTTGATTAAAACACACACAGAGATTAGGACATTAAAAAAGGACAAATGGGGCCAGGCACTGTGGCTCATGCCTGTAATCCTAGAACATTGGGAGGTCAAAGTGGGAGAATCACTTGAGACCAAAGTTCAAAAACAACCTGGGCAATAGTGAGACCCTGTCTCTCACAAATATAAAAAAATTAGCCAGGTGTGGTGGTGGGCCACAGTAGTCCCAGCTACCAGGGAGACTGAGGCAGAAGGATCACTTGAGCCCAGAAGTTGGAGGTTGCGGTGAGCCATGATGATGCCATTGCACTGTACCCAAGTTGGGTGACAGAACAAGACCCTGTCTGAAAAAGAAAGAAAGAAAGAGAGAGAGAGAGAGAGAGAAAGAAAGAAAGAAAGAAAGATGAATGTTAATCTCATTTGTAAACATAAATATAAAAACTCCAAGCAACATATTTATAAATCAAATCCAACAAATATAAAAAAAGGAAATTATATTTTGAAGTGAAAACATGGTTTGACCAAATTTAGTTTATTCCTGAAATGCAAGCTTGGCTTAGCCTTAAAAAACAGATTAATATGTTTAATCACATTAACATATTTAAAAACTCAACATACATTAATTTTTCAAAGTCTTAGCAAAAACTCAAGATGGGAGAGAAATTCTTTAACTTAGTAAAGGGCATCTATACAAAATTGATTATACTTAAAGCAAATATTATACTTAATGTTAAAATGTGGAAGCATTTCCCTTGAGATCATGTACTCTGCTCTCACTGCTTCTACTCAGCAAGTACTAGACATCCAAGCCAGTGATGTAGCACAAGAAAAAGAAATACAAATATAAGGATTGGGCGGGAAGTTAAAACATTATAATTGCAGACAATATGATGGTCCATGCAGAAAAATGTTTAAACTCTATGCATAATTAAAATGAATAATAGAGCTAGCCAGTCTCCAAGAAGGTTTTCAATCTAAATTCATACACTGCTTGTGAAGTTCTTTTTTTTTTCTTTTTTTTTTTGCATTTTTTTCCTAACCTCCTGAATTATAGAGTGTATTAGTTTCCTAGGGTTACCATAAAAAAAAGTACCACGGCCGGGCGCGCTGGCTCACGCCTATAATCCTGACACTCTGGGAGGCCGAGGCGGGAGGATTGCTCAAGAACAAGAGTTTGAAACCAGCCTTAGCAA